TGCGGTGGGGGCTGTGCTGGGGACAGGGGACCAGGTGTCCTGCAGGGCTTAAGCTGGGAGGCACAGGCGGGCCAGGGCCAGCAGGGATGAGGAGCACAGCCTTGGCGGGGGGCACCCGTTCTGAGCAGCGCCCGGCTGTCGTGTGCCTGGCCAAGCTTCACCAGGTGCCACTCTGCTCACGGCTCTGACTCCAAACCGTGCTGCCTGTGTTGGGCATGCTGGGTCTGACATGGTGCCGGCCGCTCTCCGTGCGGGATCCTCAGATGGTCCTTACTGATCTGTCCTCTTCCAGTGCTTACTCCTTCCATGTCAGCGCCGATGGGCAGATGCAGCCGGTGCCTTTCCCACCCGATGCCCTCATCGGCTCTGGCATCCCCCGCCCAGCACGGCAGCTCCACACCCTGACCCACGGTGAGGTGGTCTGCGCTGTCACCATCAGCAACTCCACGCGACACGTCTACACTGGGGGCAAGGGCTGTGTGAAGGTGTGGGATGTGGGGCAGCCAGGCACCAAGACAGCCGTGGCTCAGCTGGACTGCTTGGTAAGGAGGGGTGCGCCGCCGCCCTGGCACAGCTTGTTTCCCTGTTGCCCTGCACTGTGCCACCACACTATGGTGAAGAGGGGGTCTGGGGTCCCCATCGGGGACCTCAGGGGTGCAGGGGGCATCTGAAAGCAATGATGTGCACTGAGGAGAGTCTCCGTGTGCGTTTCTAAGTGGGGGTGGTGTGGGGCTGCTGGGGAGGGATGGTGGCTCCATGCTGCCAGTGTGCTCCCTGAGCGTCCCAAGCTGTTGGGAGGACTTTTACACCCCCCCACCCCTTGGCACTGCTTCATCTGACAGCACCTGCCCTAAGACAAGCCTTTGCCAGTGTCAACCCCCAGCCAGATACTTCGTACGAGCCAGAATCACATGGGCTGAAGCATCACTCGGATTCAGCTCTGTCCTTGTTTCTGCTTTTGCTTGTGTGAGTCTGGCTGGAGGGAGAACTCCTATTTCTTTTAAAAATAAATGAAATGGACTGTCAGACCACAGCAACTCACCAGAGCCAAACTGGAGGCACAGCTATCACCTGAGAGTATTTTTAACCTGTGTTCTTTGAGGTTTTTTTTTTAAATGGGCTGCTGGAATCAGAGTCCCTGTGCCTGCTTTGAAGAGCCCAAACCCAAGTCCTCTCCTCGACTTGCTGGCCTTGGGGCCTGGGCAGCCTGACAAATGTTATTCCTGGATGGTGCTGACCTTGAAGATACAGATGCATAAACAAGGAAATGACTGAGTCATGATAATTTCAAGCGGCATCAGAAATTCGGGAGCGGGGAAAATGGTGTTTTTTAGTGTGCGGAGCCATGGGCTGTTGCAGCCTTGTTGGAGCTGCCCCCCCAGCTGCCCCTCGTCTCTTCCAGGACTGGCCATGTCTGTCAGGCAGCTGCTGGCAGGGACACTGGGGTGAGGGTGTCCCCAGAGCTGTTCACAGTGCAGTAACAAACTGCGGGGATCCTGTGGGGGCCAGCCAGGGTGACTGCTCTGGGCATGGGACGGGGTGGGCTGCACAGCTGTCCCTGCCCCAGCCCTGCTGCCCCAGGAGGGTGGCTGTGGGTCTGCCCCACTGCTGCTGCTCCTGCCCTCGGGACCTGCTGCTGGCCCTGGAGTGACCAGGCAGTCTAGGATGGGTGCAGAAGGGCTGGAGGGGAAGGGGTTAACAAAGTCCTCCCTCCTGCACCTCAGAACCGTGACAACTACATCCGCTCCTGCAAGCTGCTCCCCGATGGCCGGAGCCTGATCGTGGGGGGGGAGGCCAGCACCCTCTCCATCTGGGACCTGGCGGCCCCCACACCCCGCATCAAGGCCGAGCTCACCTCCTCTGCCCCTGCCTGCTACGCCCTGGCCATCAGCCCCGACGCCAAAGTCTGCTTCTCCTGCTGCAGTGACGGCAACATCGTGGTGTGGGACCTGCAGAACCAGACCCTGGTCAGGTGAGCCCAGTGCAGGGGGCATGTGGGTCGGGCTGCTCGGGGCTCCGCAGGCTGGGAACCACTTGGTCCCCTCCAGGGCATCCCCACCCCTCCCCACGGTCTAACCCTGGCCATGGGACAGTCCCTGTCCTTGCAGCAGGGATCTCCTACTCCTCACTGCCGGGTTCTGGCCTGGCCCATGCTCTGCACTGCAGGCACTGGCAGCCCTGATGGCCGTGCCCTCGCTCTCTCCGTCCCCCTCTTTCCCAGGCAGTTTCAAGGCCACACGGATGGTGCCAGCTGCATCGACATCTCTAACTACGGCACCAAGCTGTGGACAGGGGGGCTGGACAACACAGTGCGGTGCTGGGACCTGCGGGAGGGGCGTCAGCTGCAGCAGCACGACTTCAGCTCTCAGGTAGGGGCTGGGGCTGGCTGGGAGCACCATGGGGCCCGCCGGGCCCTGCCGTGCCGCTGCCTGACCCTGTCTCTCCCCCCAGATCTTCTCCCTGGGGTACTGCCCGACGGGAGAGTGGCTGGCAGTGGGCATGGAGAGCAGCAATGTGGAGATCCTGCACGTGACCAAACCAGACAAGTACCAGCTGCACCTCCACGAGAGCTGCGTCCTCTCCCTCAAATTCGCCTCCTGCGGTAGGCTCACCTGTCCTGGCCCCCTGGCTCTGGAGGCTCTTGGATGCAGTCTCCTCTCCTGGCCTTGTGTCCTAGGGCTTGTTGTGCTGGGGGCAAGTGCTGGCTCCGGTAGCCAGCCCTGTCCTGTGTGGATGCTAGTGCTGTCTCTCAGAGAAGGGGCATCCGTCCCTCCTGGAGCAACACCCGTGGCTGCACTTTCAGCTCTGTTGTCCCAGGACTCCCCTCTGTGTTCCTTAAAACAGCCCCTTGGTTAACAAGTGGCAGAGATGTGGCTTTCCAGTCCCCACCTTGTATTACGCAACCTGGGCACGATTTGCTGCAGGAATCCAGTGGGTGGGTCTGGTTTGGTGACAGGATGGTCTTTGTCCCTTCTGTCCCTCCTGTCCCTCCTACAGGGAAGTGGTTCGTGAGCACCGGGAAGGACAACCTGCTGAATGCCTGGCGGACGCCATACGGAGCCAGCATCTTCCAGGTGTGGGGTGTGCTCAGCTGTTGGGATCAGGACTGGGGGGGATGTTCCTCTGGGTGAGGTTGCCCAGAGCTGGGACTGCCCAGTACAACCCAGCTGTAAATGTATCTTAGCAATAATTGCAGCCTCCCTGGGCACAACTCAGGGCCTCAAGTCCCAAGGGGTGGGACCGGGACCTTGCTCTGGGGCTGCTTCTTGCATTTACCTCCCTGTCCTCCTCTCTCCAGTCAAAGGAAACCTCCTCCGTCCTCAGCTGTGATGTCTCCACAGATGACCAGTTCATCGTGACTGGCTCAGGGGACAAGAAAGCTACAGTTTATGAGGTCATTTACTGAACGCAAGAGAGGTGCCAACTGCGGGGAGGGCCCACGCCATGTGGACAGGCAGACGTGGACAGACGGCTGGACTCTACTTGCCCTGCTGCTGACTTCCCAAAGAACATGCAGCCTGTGGCTGGGGCATCCGAGCTAGAGGAGAGCAGCGAGGTGTGGAGGTGGCCCTGGGACCACGGCCAGGCGTCACACTGGGCTGGGAGGTGGCGGCTGCTACTCACAGTGAATTTCCTGGGGACTTTCTCCTTGTTTTGTTCTTTTTTTGTTGGTTTGTTTCTAAATCGGGACGGGGGGGACGGGGTAGGGTTTTTTGTTTGGGGGCAGTGTGGTTTGGAGGGGGTTTTTTGTTTTGTTTTTAACTTTTTGTTAGGTTTGGATTTTTTTTGTTGTTGTTGAGGCTCTGGGCCAGGCTTGGGAGGATGAGTTCTGTCCTCATCTCCCTCTGTGCCTCCTAGGGTGTATTTAATAATAAAAACAAACAAAAAAGCACAGCTGTGCCCTGTCCTGGGCAGCAGCCTTGGTGCTCTGTGGCTGCAGGATGGAGCCAGGTGAGACTGGGGGAGCCGGGGCTGTACCACTGTCCCCTTTGGCTGCTGTGCCTTGCTGCTCCTTTCCCTTTCCTGCATTGGGACAGGTTTGCTGCCACCCTCTGCTGCAGGTAGGGTGGTGGGGCCTGGTAGCAGGACTGTGCTGCCTGCATTGTCTCCGTTCAGCCCTGCATTGGTCCTGTGCATGGTGCAGGCCGGAGCACTGCTGACCGTGAGGGGAAGGACACGCAGGGGTGGCTGCTGTGCATCCCTGGAGCAGCCTCTGTCACTGCAGGGTGGCGGGGGGAGAGGCCAGTGCTGGAGGAAGCGGTTTTCAAAGGAAATGAGATGTGAGCAGTCGGCGCTGGCTTATCGGTCTGGCTTCCTGCCAGAGCTGCCGTGGGGGAAGCAGGGCTGTTACCGAGAGCCTTGGAGTGCAGCCTGCCGGCAGAGGCCATGGCGAGGGCTAGCAGGGAAGCAGGGTGCTGCCAGCTGCAGCACGGCAGCTGTGATGTGCTCCTGCCTGGAGCCTGGCCTGGAGCTGGGGCTGCTGTGGCAGGCGGACAGCCAGGGCAGGAGTGGCTCTGCCATGGAACAAAGGCTTCTCATGCGCTCCTGGCCGAGGGAGGGCAGGGGACTCTCCTGGACCCCCCAGCTACACTTCACAGCCCAGCCCTTGCCATTGCCCAGGAGTGAGCCCTGCTGGGCAGCGCTGGCTGGGGAAGCCGCAGCTGAGGTGACCCTGGCTCCATACCTGCGAGGGGGTGTGGGATGGGAGCAGCTCCTGCTTCTTTCCCCTGCTGTTGCAGAGCCCTACACCCCAACTACCGTCATGGGAGGGGGCTGAGCCCCCAGCTCCATGGGCACAGCTGCAGGTGCCATTTCAGGGGATCCGGGGGTGGTAGTCAGCTCCCCAGGGAAGGGTTTACATGGGTCTTGCAGCCCACCACCAGACCAGCCACTCTTTTGTTCCTTTTTATTAGTAAGGGATTGAAAACACAGTTAAATACATTTCTTTACTGATAATTTACAGCTGTTTCTGCAGCAGAAAATGGGGGCCATTAAATCAGTAGCAGTATTTCAGGAGCAACACTCTCTCAGCCACTCTTGGCCTCGCCTTGCTGCCCTGCTGGCCCTCCAGCTCCCTGTGCCTCCAGCCCTGATGGACAGAAAGGCTGTAGGATACCTAGACCAGCCCCTGCCTGCTGCCCAGCTTGGGGGGGATGCTGGGCCACAATGAGCGCTCACCTCCAGCTCTTCCCTTCACCTTTGCGACACATCGGGCAGGGAGCAGGGCCAGTGCCCTGGCCTTGTTTTGGCAGCTGAAAGGAGAGGAGGAGGAAGGAGAGCAGGGCTGCGGGATGACTGACCCAGCACGGGAGGCCTCTGCCAGGCCCAGCAGCTTTGGACAAGACCTTGCGCTTCCCTGATGGATGAGGGACAGTGACGGACCAGGCCTCAGTATACCACCTCGTACACTGTGGCCTTCTTGTCGCCAGAGCCCGTAACGATGAATTTGTCATTGACAGAGATGTCACAGCTCAGCACCGACGAGGACTCTTTAGACTGAATGTGAAAGAGGCAGGTGGTGAGGGCAGCACGGGTGGCTGAAGCTGCCCTCATCCCTGTCCCATCCAAATGCCTCCCCCGCACCTGGAAGATGCTGGCTCCATAGGGTGTCCGCCAGG